ACAGAAATTTACTTTCGCCATAATATCTGTCTCTTATACACATCTAGATGTGTATAAGAGACATATGCACATGCACGTGCATTTTCTTAGCTTTGCCAAAAAATAATTAAGTATTATTAAACAATCATTCAATCAATCGTTTCAGGGTGGGTCCGGGAGACACATGTCTATCCCAACCCCTAAAAAATAAAGAAGAAAGAGAGAAGAAAGACCAGACAGAAGGGAGTATGACGTTACTGTAGGCCTATTCCAAACAAGCTAATTTTTTGTAATGTCTGTGGTCTCTACCATTTCTAAACAAAATTCTTTCTCTATATCTTTCCCTTATGGGTGGATGGATATATTCGGTGTAAACACCAATGATAACCCACGAAATTCGGAAGAATATTTGTTTCCAGTGAGGTCCTTCTGGTGGTGATTGGGCAATACACCGGCAGTGGCCTAACGATGGACCCAGGGCAATGTGGCTTTCTGAGACTGGGGGCCCCTTTTGATCCGGTCGCCAATTTAATTGTGGGAATTTAAATGAGCTCGTTTTTCTAGTATTTGGCATTGTATTCTAGATTGCTTTTAACAACGAAATAAATTATATGATATCAGTTGCAGATCAAGGTTTTCAAAGAAGAGGGAATGTGGGTAGGGATGGACTTTCACACACATATGCCACCTCAGCCCCAGCATGGTTGGGGCTAAGGTAAGATCATTTATGAATACGGCACCTCAAAGTGGCCGGAAATGGCACTCATAGATTTAAAATGCAAATATAATTTCCATTTTTAAAACAATTGGACAATTTAAGGGGCTCCAGACCGACAGGGCCCCCATTAAACCTTAACAGGATATACTATGATATATGTCTTACAGTCGATCTCAGAGACACATTATGCTGTTATGTAAACAAAGCTCTTTTGGGTAAGGGCGCCAGAGCGAGGACACTATGGGTTGGGGCACCTTTGGGGCCCTAGGTGACGGGGGCCCTGCGGACCGCCGCACAAGAGCGCATAGTCGTTACGCCACTGTACATCGTGAAACAATCTCCTACTAATTTATAATTAGTATACTGCGTTCTTTAACGTGCACACAGGCCGTAATGCACACGGGACCAACAGGTTAAGTCTCATCCGAAAGACGGTGCGCTATCGTAACTTGGATTTCTAATTAGTATACTGCGTTCTTTAACGTGCACACAGGCCATAATGCACACGGGACCAATAAGTTAAGTCTCATCCGAAAGACGGTGCGCAATCGTAACTTGCATTTCAGCCTTGCAGCTGAAATACAAGGAGAGCAGCGATGGAAATTCAATACACTACCTCCTTCCTAAAGCCCCTTCCAATTACCATCTTAGAAAACTTAAAGACTTTATCCTCAAAAAAAGGCTTTAAAGAATTCCCGGTACAGGCGAATGCTTGTTTCATTTTTAAGTCAGTAATTTAAATAACTATAATAATCTTACTACAATAATAACAATAATAATAATAATAATAATAATGATTAATATTTTTAGTATTGGTTTCCTTTTACCCTTTAAATCTGTTTCCTTCTGCTGTTTTTGTGATGTGGGTCCTTTTTGTTGAAAAATGTTTATTGTTTAGATTTTCCTGCTTGAACCTTTTCCTGGTTCAACCCATTTTGAGTGATGCAATAAAGAATGATTTGTTTTGAATCGGAAACTTAGAGAACCCCACGATCCTCAGCACACACAGAGGCTATCACCAGTTTTTTTTTCAACTGAGCTAAGCTGCTCTGCTCCCTGGTTATAAATGTATAAGGTACCATTCCAATATTTAATAATAGGCTTTTACAGTAACACTATTAAAATTCAGAGACGGACAGAAATTTACTTTCGCCATAATATATTGTACAGAAAGCCTACGACTTCTGGATCACTTTTTCTTCAGGTCATCTAATAGGCATGAAAATCAATATAAAGACGTTTGAGTAACAAAATTCATTGATTGTTTTTTAATAAAGTGTCACTTTGATACCAAAATAAGGCTAATCTGAATAAAATGACCATTGAACTTTAAGGTCCAATTGATGATGTTGCCGGTGTTTATCATCCGAATATCCAAATTATTAG